GGCGGGAAAATGGCTAATTCGGAACCAAGAAAGCTGGGAAGCTGAAATTTTCAGCGAATGTCCCCATGAACTGAGGACATTCCCTTACGGTTTCAGCTTTCTGGCTTAGCTGGATCGCAAGTTAGCGTTCTTCTCGCCAAGAACCTTCACGAGGCCGCACGTGGGAACGACGCATGTCTGGAGGCTGAATTTGAAATCTTTGTGTTCTATGTTGACGGGGAACATAACTGCAAAGTTTCAGCTTTCTAGCTTTCCTGGCTCCCGAATTAACGGTTTTCCAGCCGAAACTTTGAGGAACTCGTACGCGGGGCCTAGACGTGTGCAAGGGATGATACCGCGGTCCTGAGGTGGTGCTTGGTCGGGAAACCCACTGGCAAAATTTTGGTGCCGGAGCCTGCTTGGGTGTCGAATTGAAAACACGGATACACACACACACACACACGCCGGGGTTGTCACAACACGTCTTTTCGCATTTGCATATATGCAAAAACGCATAACTGTGGAAAGTGAAAGTAACTAAGTTCCAGTGTTTCATATCGTGGTAATTTATTTGTATTGTCAATGAAAATATAGTAAAAGTTATGGTAGACCTGGACAAACCAGCCAAAAAGTAACACACATCGAGTAAGTGCTCGTTCACACATTTCGGGGTAACGTCTTCTTGAAAAAGATTTGGTTGCGGAATTCTTATTTTATGAGTACGTATGTTCTGGCTCAATAAGGAGCACTGCATGAAAATCGAGAAATTCAGGTTCCTAGCTTTTTTCATTCCCTGGACAAAAGTAGCAAGGGGATGACCTATGACTATAGGCCAGCATACGGAAGGAATACAAGAGCTGATTACGGATTCTTGACTTTATGCGCAACCAAAAAGTTGGCTCTTAAAATCTGAAGTTTGTATTTTCTCGGTTCTTAAGTTGTAAGTGAATTAAATTTAGACTTAAGTCCAATATATTGCTTTAGGTTGTCCTTTTATACAGCCAGGAATTTTAATGGTACGAATCCTTTGATTTTGCACCCACAAAAGCTAGCACCAAAAATATACTTGGGATCAAGAGCGAAAATGTAGAATAGTTCAGAAAGTTGGCGTAGGCTCGCGCACGTTAAGGACTTTGTTCAAAGTATTTCAAATTCTTAACCTTCATAGTTTCGGAGTCATTTATAGTCGAACAGTCAGGCATGCAACATTCACATATACGCTTATGTTTCGCCTCAATTTTCACGCTGCATCAACAAAAACATTTGAAAAGTCTAACAGCCGCATTGTTGAACTTAACGAAAATACAGAATATTTTTAAAGGAACTTTTGCGTATTTCAGTATTCTCGGCACATGCTGGTATTCGAGCTTTCGCGTGTATTCCCGACCCTCTCCGGATTGCCCCTTCAATTCATGCTCAACGCTTCGCTTGCCTTCAAAATGGATGGCAAAATGAGGCTAAATTTTGTGGAGCTCTTACGACAGCGAGGTGACGCTGATGCTCAGGTAACTGTTTTTTTGGTCAACCAGCCCAGTCGTCTCTTTCACGTCGTCGCTCGAGGCGTTTCCTTTCAGCTGTGCATTTGGGTTTCATAGCTAATTAAACGACGTAGTTGTGTTTTGCTGCAACCTTTGTAGCAGCACTGCATTTCAGGTTAAATTCCGTCCTTCCGTGTCTGCTTCGCTGGGGGCTAGGGTGCTGCTGCGTGCAGGTCACGTCGCATCCGGTGCTCTTGCCTCCTCTAACTTATACGGCGCTACGGATTTCTTGAGACAGATGGAGCTCAGGCAAGGCAGCAGATTATCGTTGAAGGCTGAAGTGCCACATCATGATATTTTTATTGCAAAATTCCGGTAAATTGCTGCAGTATTTTTTTTAAATTTAAATATTTTGATTGATTTTTCCGTAGCCAACTTGAACTAAATTTTTCATCTTTTGCAACTTGGCCTGGGACTTCAATCTCTTTAGAAACCTTCAGAAAGTTATTAGAACAACAAGTCACAAAAAATCAGATAATAATGAGCGACACTGCTTTCAGAAATGATGCTGCGAAAGTGGAAATGAATCGACATCAGCCCCTGATTAGCATACGACGAGTTCGGCAAGCTGTTGATCAACGCTATTGCTCCGGTGAAAATTTGGCGAAAATTCTTGGCTTGAAAGCATGCTACAACGTAATTTTCATTTTTTTTACTGCTGGTGTGGAGTACAAAGTGAAAATGACTAAGCCTGTACGTATATGTGTGGGCATGTTTTGGAGAGTAAGAAGCCTTGTACATTACAGAACAGAAGACGGAAAAGAAAGGGAGAGGAAAGATGGAACGCCTCTATGTTAGGGCTAGCTGAGAATGGCTGCAGCTGATAATGCGTAGTACACTATGTTGGCTCTCATGAAGACTCATTCGTTATGGTAGCGGCAGCTAATATTGCAGGCTGGTCCCGGGTGCCGAAGCGTGATTGTTACACGGATAACTGCTAAATTGATGCACGCATATGCAGTAGAAGGCGACCTACTGAAAGTTTTTTTGCAGTCGCAAAAGTGAAGAAGTTTCCAGAATATTTCTTCAATAATCCAGAGTTTTACATTCATTCTCGAAATTCAGATTCGCGCTGATTTCCCTGTGTTGGAAGGAACGATTCGATTGGAGAAGGCCGATCCTGCTCTGAATAGCTATCAATTGCTTGTTGAAAGAGCAAGCGACGTAAGTTTGTGCATATCCAACAAATTACTGTTGCAGCGTTTGAAGAATTTAGCATGAAAGGGACAAAACAAAAGCTTGCATAATTTCTAGCCCGACAGCGTGTTGCATAAAGCTCTTTAGCGCGCAAATAGTTCAGGTGTAGAATTATTTGCGTTCGGAACTCGTTTGTGCTCTTTCTGTTGGAAAGTTCGCTAGCACCATTAATAACCCGCGTTGCAGCCCTTCCTACACAGACATTGTGCATAAATTTCCATTACGCCGATCTTAAGCGCTGTGAATCTTCGTTTTTGTGCCTTTTGTGTTTCGCTTCTTACGTATCATACACGTGACAATTGTGTGTGCAAGTATATGCGTATCTTGCTTGACGATTGGATAAAATGTGGATGATACAGCGACCCACGGAATGATAGCTGCTTCTGAAGTGAAGCCAATTGTGGTGGCTTTCTTCTGCAAGCCTTTGAATGTTTTGTTCGTTTAGCTCCACAATTTGTTGGATCCATGGCCTTTCAGGTGGCCATCTTTGCACTCACCTAAACTGCATTCTCATATTATGATATACCATGTTAATTGCTTGAGAGAAGTTGAAGCAGGGCTTATCGTGACTCGCAAACTGATTGAAAAAGATGGCTTGCAATTTTATAAAGCTCAACTGGGTCTGTTTACTCATTTTTGAACAATGCTGAAGGATTGGTAACAAAATGTTCTAGTGATCTAGGTATTTTATTAGTAACAATTACGTGGAAATACGTGTCAGTAGCATGGAATAAAGAACTGAGGTGGACAGAAATATATAATCGAAAACATCACTGCCGGATAATATCCAAAGATGAGAGGTCTTGTGAGAAGCAAAAAGTCAGTGAGGATATCACAGTTTGTGTTGAAAGGCAAAAAATTTGAAGACAGTAAATTTACAATCTCAATCGAATAAAAAAACAAATGCAGTAAAAGCAAATTTGTAGATGATACTAACCAAAGTTTTTTTTACATAAAATTTAACAAGCTGTTCGCTCGGATCGGCGTGGGTATCTTATTAGTAGTGTTGCTGGTTGCTCCCAATCGCAGAGATCAGCTCTGCCATTCCCTTTAGTCCTGAGCTATGCATTTCCAGCCTTAGTAACAGTTAAATGTGAAAGGCGGTAAAGAGTATTAAATTACTTCTAATTTTAAGGAAACATGAAAAAGAGAGTCATTTC